AACAGGATCCGGCTCTAGCATACTTTAGAGCTTGAATTCGATATATGATTAAATATATCTAGAAAGGTTTGTAGAGGCCGTTAGAAAAGTAGGAAAGCTAGGGTCGGAATTCAGACCCCAGAACCCTTCTTTTAGTACTACTCTATTGGTATGATTTACTATTTTTAAAATGCAGTTTTTTGGGGTTTATTATATGTTATTCATCAAAGTTGTCATTATTACATTAATCATAATTTAAGCTCCATTATGCTAAAAAGATAGTATTGGTCAAAAATATCAAACGAGATTATTTATATAATGTATTTGCAATTTAGGTAGCTTGTACTAAAGAGGCTAGTAAATGATAGTTTGAGTAAGTTACATTTGTATTAAAGGGCAAGTACTAAAAGGGCTAGTAAATAATAGCTTGTATGAGTCATGCTTGTACTAAAGGGGCTAGTAAACGATAGTTTGAGTAAGTTATGTTTGTACTAAAGGGCTAGTACTAAAAGGGCTAGTAAATGATAGCTTGTGTGAGTCATGCTTGTACTAAAGAGGCTAGTAAACGATAGTTTGAGTAAGTTACGTTCATATTAAAAGGGCAAGTACTAAAAGAGCTAGTAAATAATAGCTTGTATAAGTCATACTTGTACTAAAGGGGCAAAGCTTGAGTAAGTCACACAGTAAACGATAAGCAGGTTAATTAGTATGCAGTATAATTTGAGTTTAATGTAATCATAATAAATATAAATTTATATAACAAAAATATATAATACTCCGAAGTATAATCCACTTTATATAATAGTACTACTCCAGAGTATTTTACTTCTATTACTAGTATCTTAATAATCTGAGGTGGTGTTATGCCAAAACCACACTGGTATGGAGTAGGTTATACTCCAGGATCACTCCGAAGTATATTACTCCATTAATATCCCTATATATTATAAAAAACTTTTCAATAGATTAATTAGTATATAAAATTTTTTTTTCAAACTTTAATTTCACTTTTTTTTTTTTTATTCAATTTATTTTAAAAATTTCAGCTCTATTAAACATTATAAATTTTAAAAAATTTTCAGCACTAAATTTTAAAATTCAATACTATATTTTAAAATTCAATACTAAATTTTAAAATTCAATACTATATTTTATAATTCAGTATTAATTATTAAAATTTCAGCACTATTATATATGTTTATATATATATTTTAAAATACAGCACTTTGATGTGACTAGATATCCCACACTATACTTAAGACAGTATTGACAATTTATATCGGTTAAGCAATTAAATTGGCTATTGGCCGATAATTGCCTGTTTGCCAAAAAATGTTCAAGATTTTGTGACCAAAGTAGATTGGCAATTGGCAGTAGCCAAATAAAAATATTGGCCTAATGGCCGATTTGGTCACAGCTAATTGGCCAAAGATTAGACATATTTAGAAATATGTAAGATATGCATATGATATAATATATTTTGACTAGTTTTATATATAAAATATAACTAATACAATAGTGGCTATTATATATTATGCCTTTATAGAGTTTTTGAATTCTCACACTATATATACATATATATTTATATATACGTATAATATATACTACAAAAGTAACAACAATGAATATCCAAGTTAAGTGTTGAAATTTCAATGGATTACTTTTAAATAAATTTATAATAAAAGATCTAATACTGGAAAATTTTTCTGATTTGTCTTAAGACCCATTATGAAACTTTGGATATCTTGTTTGTATAAGTTAGTGTTAACTTCATTTTGTGTTATAGCTTATTTTTTTGTATAAAAAATAACTCAAAATTACTATACAAAATATAAAATTACTGTATAAAGTAATATATATAATCTACTAACCAGGCCGCCAGGTCATCCGGAGAAAAAGGTCACATGCAACTTTTTCTCGTAACACTGCCTGAGGGCTCGAGAAAAATACGCCAGTCGTTCATAAATGAAATACTTACTCCTGACTGCGTCAGTCGTGGCGTATTTCATTTACTCCGCCTTCTGTTGTACTCGGCTTAGGCAGCCTGGCCTATAGCCAATTTCATTAACTCAGAGAATTGAAAAACTTATAAATATAGAAGAAAATTTCCACAGAGGAAAAAATTCCACAGAGGAAAATTTCCACAGATAGAGGAAATTTCACAAAAATTCTAATAACATCTCGCAACATAAAATTCTTGCAACATGTCTTCTTCTAATTTGTATAAAATTGAAGATAATCAATCCATTTCTTGTCAACAAGAAAGATGTAGTTACAAACATCGCACACCAAAAAATAAACATCAAAGTATTATTAAACATTATAGTAGATGTCACTCTGAAATCTATAAACAGTTGAAATCTCAACTAAAACCTTATTCAAAACCATCATTACAACAACAAAAAAATATTGTTCATTGTGTCAATTTAGAACAAGAACAAGATAAAGGTTTAGATTTATTACATAAAATCGAAAAGAATCAAAGTTTTTGTTTTCATCACTTTGTTGGTGGAAGATATTTTAATTTTAAATTTTTAAAAATAGTTGAAGGTTATACGTTATCATTCTTTCTTAATGATACTTTGTTACATCTTAATGATGAAATTTTAGATAATTTTTCTTATAACTTTATTAGTTTTAACAACGTAGAAATATTTAAAATTGATGATGGATTTATATTTTTAAATCCTAACATTAAAATTGTAAAAATTTTTTACAAAAACAATTTAATTTTTGAGACAGAAAATTTTAATACTTTATTTAATTAATTATATAACAACATGGATTATCAAGACGTAAACAAAATTTTAATTCTTTTATATTAAAAAAAAATGTTGATCTCTTTAAAAATAAATTTATTAAGTAATTTAAAGCCACCTTCTGTATATATAATAAAAATTTTATCTATTTTTTACGAAAAAAACAACTCTTGGGAGTGTGATTGTTCTTTTTACAAATATTACAATAAATGAATTCCCTGCAAGGACCCAAGTGCACGAAGTTACAAAACGTACACTTGTTATACTCACAATTTCTAAAAAAATGTTTATCCGAACCACATGCCTGACAATGTTTTTTAAAGCGACAATCCTTATAATAATGATTATTTTTACCACAAAGTTCACAAAATACCAGAGAACCTTCGAAAGGATCGAAGAAATAATCCCGCAAAATCTTTTTAGGAGGCGAACCCCAACCATCATCAAAACTAAAAAATAATAAATAAACAAATTAAAAAAATAAAAAATAAAAAAATAAAAAAAAAAAAGAAATACCTCATTTTGATTTTTATTTTTTTAGTAAATGAACAGTAAATATCATTTCTTTTATAATAAAACGTGCATATTTATGCATATATTTATTAAAAATTTTGATTTACAAATCTTTATACTCGGCTTTATTATCAATTTTATAATGCCAATCCTTCACATAACCCCCAAACTTCTCGATGTATAATGTTTTATCATTGATAATGCGATACAAATTTCGAACAACTACCTTAATAAAGTCTACTTTAACAAACTCACAAATTTCTTTATATTTCTCGATTCTATCATGTTTTTTGTAAATTTGATTGATTAAATCTCTAACATAACCTAAAAGATAGATACAATGAGTTGACATATCACTTTTTTCTATCAACTTTAAGATTTTTTCTAAAACAAAATTTACAAGATTACGATAAACATAATTATCCTTGTAGACTTTGTAACGTAACTTATAATAACAATACTCTCGTAAGATACGTAATTTGAAGTTCACAGCATAGACAAAATCGTGCTCCTTTAACAAACCCTTGTAATATGGACATATTTTATTGAAGTTTTTAACGAATATCGACTTGTAAGTTTTATATTTTCTAGATTTCGGTTCGAGACCACAATCCTCGACAACCCTTCGCCAGAAAGGATGCACGTCAAGAGCTTTTTTCCAAGTTTTGCAGACTAGCGAGCATTTTTGAAAGATATACGGATCGAAAATGTAATTAAAAACAAGATAAATAGGGTTAATTTCTTCTTCCTCATCCTCGTATTCTATTCTCTTTCGTTTCATTTTTTTTAAGTTTACTTGATAATATAAAATTCATTTTATTTATAAACTTGAAAAATTACCAAATATAGATTTCTACATTAAGAAATTTATTGATCAACAATGGACTGGAAATCAAAATTTCTATCATTTGTAGCTGCTAAAACGTGGAACAAGATCACCAATCCGGAGAAACCCAGACTCAAGCTAAACGAGTATCGTACTGTCAAGATCGACAACAAGCTGTATCTCGAAGTCAAAACTTCAAGATCCAACATCACATTCTTGACTGATTACAAATACTTTGAATATTTGAAGAATTATACGTGGTATTCTTATAAAAATGGAAATACATGTTACATTAAAACACATATTAAGAAAGATGATAAAGAAACAACCTCACATTTCCATAATTTTATTAAACCAGAATACAAGTTAGTAGATCACATCTCAAGAAATGCTTTAGATAATAGAGAAGTAAATTTAAGAGATGGATCAGATGGTGTTAATCAAATAAATCGTAAATTAAATAAAAACAATTCTAGTGGATTTAATGGAATTGATAAATATTGTAAAGGTTGGAGATTTCAATGGTGGAATGATGATAAAAAACATAAAGCAAAATTATTTAAAACAAAGCAAGATGCGATAGATTTTAAATTAAAACATGATAAAAAAACTGGTAATCGCAATGGATATCCTGTATTTTTAAATAAAATTTGATAATGTATTGGTTTATTTTTGCTTAAACGAATAAACAAAAAACATTCAAGCTGCACCAACGAGAAGGTTCATTATCATAGCAGCTCAAAAAAAAAAGAACGAGAGCGTTGGTTCCTTTGAAGGTGAGAGACAAAACGGCCACCAGACCATAAATGTGATGTCCCTTATCGAACACTTGCTCAACATTCGCTAAGAAAAAAGAGCCAGCTTAATGAGGCCGACCATCGAATTTGCAAAGAAAATCGCCTCGTTAATATCGTTCTGAGAGACCAGGTTCTCACAAAAACTCAAACAAATTTCTAAGTAGAGCTTCTGTACTGGATCTCTGTCTCTCACGCAAAACGTACGAGAAGACATGACCGCGCCCAGTAGTTACAGAGAAAGTTCACCCGAAACGACCAACTACTGAAGAGATACCAGCAGCTTCGGTCATCGTTTTTGGCAAGAAACGCACTTTGTTACTTGGTACGTTCTCCCAAGATTTTTGAAGGAAAGTAAAAAAAAGATTTGACCGTTTCGCCCGTGTCAACCAGAGAGATGTGAATACGCTTCACCAAAAAGATAGTTATCTCATGCGTCATTCGCCGCCTCACATCGTGTTCATCTCTCTCGCAAGAGACTACGCTTCTCCCTGTTCGGATATTAAGATGTGGGTGTTCTCCACCGTCTCTCTGATAAAACCACGAGCGAAAGGGTGAGAAACATGAAATTGGGCGCAATCACAGATATTTGTATCATAGATCAAACTATGAGTCATCATGCATGCATAAGTATCAGCCAAATCCAGTGATCAGCTGCGCATTTTTTAAAAAGTAAATACTAAACGAATATCACATGTGTAGTACAACTATGAAATTTCTAATTAAGATTAATATTCACACGCTTCATTTAAAAGTAATAACTAATTTGGTAAATAAAAATAAAATACGTATACACCGTGAAGAAAACGAATAAAAGATACAGAAGAAATAAATTCACGCAATTCACATGAAATAAAAAAATATCAATCCAAGAAAATAACTCTTGAATGACCTACCCATTAAAGCATAATTGTTAAAAAAATGTTAAAAATACCTCCTTTCTTTTGTAAAATCTTACAATTC